CAATCCATCGTCTCAAGCTTTACTGATTCTTCTATTCCTCACCAATCTACTCTCTATTCTCATTCTCTTTTCTTCGATCTTCTTAACCATCTACCTCTAGTTATTTCATTTTCGACTGATGATATATATACTACTTATATCTATCGATATCAGTAGCATGACAACATGCTATTACAGTTTGATTATTAAAACCTAACAAAAACAACAAACTAAGACAAAGTAATGAATACATCATGTTTTATTCTAAATTTTTGACAAGTTCACAACTACACTATAATCAATAAATGTGTGCTAATTGTTACCAATATTCATCTTATTGTCTTGTAGGATTTTTAAAAAAATGTCAAAATTGTCATTTATTGTACAATTGCACAATTACGATTCCTACAGAACATTAGATACTACTTAAATAGGAAGTTCTTTTAAAATGTATAGTGCTATTTAGTAAACTGAATTTAAGATTTATCCGACTAGTGGTTTTCTTTTTTGAATTAATCTATTTCTGGTTAGCGTTTTTTTTTGGCGAGTTCGTTTTTTTTACCAGATGGGGTTGCTAACCGCACACTCGACCCTCCTCCTTTATTCGGGCTTGGGATTAGCAGTAGCTTCAGAGGGGCTCCAGGCAGATCAGTTTGGATTGTAAATCTCTTTTGAATAAAAGTTGTCTATTTCTTCTTTTTGTTTTCAACTGCTTCAACATGATATGAACTATTCCAGTTTTGTATTTGTTTTAATTGGTTATTTTATCTAAGTAGATTATCTAGTATACATGCTCCTAAATGGCTGAGAGTGTGGAGAGTTAACTCTCCCTCTCGAAATGCTCTCACATGGCCACGCATATATAGCCTCTGCCAGGGAAGTCCTACTCAGTGCCTTCTCGTGGCGGGGGTGTTGTTTACGAAATTAAGAGAACGAAAAGTGAATGTTTGGCGCTTTAACCGGGTTGGTGGACACGGAACATCCACCTAGGAGAGTTGGAAAACCCTGATTCTAAACCATTAGTGCACGTGGGCTCCAGGATCCTGAAGGAACAAATGGCGTATGAATTAATTGTTGATCACCGGCTTTGATGGAATTGCATCGCCTTACGTTGCTCCACTGCTTTGTGGATTAGACTTGTAGGTCAAATGCTCTGGGTAAGGCCCTCTAAGAAAAGCACCTGTCTCAGTTTGGGCACCCTGGCAGTATCACAACCCTCCTATAAATCGAATGATTTATGTGGTGTACATCTATTTGGTGCTTCCTTGTACCAATGTTCATGTGTTTAAACAAATAAAAACATTCAAGTATTTATGAAAAGCACAAAGCATCATAACGAGAAATCTATGATTAGTTTATCTTTACTTGGGTTTATGCTTTGACACAATAAAATCCGGCGAGACTATAATTTTTGAATGAACCAATCAAATTTATGGTAACAGGTCTTGGATTTCGGTGAGTAATTCTTTATCTATTTGGTTAAATAGCGTCTTGGTATTTGAGCTGATGTCATTTCGTGATGAATGACAAATGCATTACAATATGAGGTTAGTTGTGTATTTTTTACTGAACATTTCTACGTTGTAATCCTTGATTTATACTAATAATCAGCCACACAATGCTTATAATCGTTAGTTAAGATTGGATAATATCAATCAGGTTACAATGTGGTGATCAGTGTATGACTGTTTGGAGGTGACAGATAGAAAGTTATGAACCTACCGTTTTCGCTTGGTGACGCTCATCAACATGAAATACTTGAAATATCTCTAAAATTTCGAAAATGATGTTGGAATTAGTAAGAACCTGAATATTTAATCTATTAAATTTTTTCTGGTCAGTGTTTTTTTAGCTAGCTAGTTTTCTACGGGATGGGGTTGGTAACTCCTTACCCAGTCCTCCTCTTTCATCCGGGCTTAGGACCGTCAGTAGCCCCAGAGGGGCTCCAGTTGGTGTTATTTAATCTATTAACCGCCAATCCAAATGAAGTGGATTTTCAAATTTATTCGAAAGTACTGATCGGTTAATATTATTTCTGTTTCATGAGATACCAAGGTACATCTTCGTCGTATCTTAATATTAAAAACAAATATCATTGATAAGTAATTAATTTTATCTGATATTATGAATGTTGTTCCATTTTAAAGTTTCCATGGACAAACGATTCTATTTCTATCAGAAGAGGGTTTTGTGGAGATTTGAAGCTAGACCACCATGGAAAACCCTGAAGCACTGGAGGGTCGTTTCATCCTACTATGGGACTCCTCAGCAGAGCTCATCCATGATCCCATTCGTGGGATTCGAACTCAGGACCCATCGATCTCGAGCACGAGATCAGTTAGTGAATCGGTTGAAGTTAGACATTAACACGTCGGACAACGGCTCAGTGGTCTAGAGGTTAATCGTTCTCGTTAGAATATTTTGTACCAGTCAGAACCTTTGTTAATCAATATCTCTGAACATTCCATAACGATAATAGATCAAACATTAAAAGTTTAATCTTTTTACATGGACATTGAAGGTACTTTTAGGTCAATGAATGATCTTTGATTTCTATACTTAATATAAAACTTGCATCACTAGATTTCTATATATCCGACAATCAATAACTGTAGAGTGGTAGCAATATAGATGTTTTGGGGTATACAATAAAACACAATTGAATAAATGTTTCAATATACACCTTAGTATCCAAGGTAAACATTTTGTTTACCAATTTTTTTAGGAAAATATTCAATAAATAATGAGGTCAATTGTTGGATCGAATACAATTTGCAAACGTTAAGTCATAATTGTTAACTATAATGAATTTATTCGCTGAAGATTTAAATCATTCAGATGAAAATACTTTGGGCAAGACAAATGATTTCTTTAATACTTGAATTTATGTGTCGATTAAAGCTAGACCACCATGGAAAACCTGGAAGCATTAGACAGTCGTTTTGTCTTAGTATGGGACTCCTCAGCAGTGCGCATCCACGATCCCACTCTCAGGAAGGGAACCCAGGACATCCGGTCTCACGTGCGAACACTTAGCTTCTAAACCACTGAGCCGGTATCCAACGTCGGTAATGTCTAAGTTAAACCAATTTCATGGATTGATTTATTGATAACACAAGCGGTTAAGAGAAGGATACTAAAGTCTGGCGATCAAATAAAATCTATATTCTTTTGGATTGTATAGAGACATTTACTAGTCGTAATGATAATTGAAGAGGCATAATGTTATGAATCGTTTAGCATTTATAAGTCAGTTGTTAAAAGGTAATCGACAGAGAGTTCTTTTGATTTATCATTATTAAAAAATGCTGTCGAATATATCCAGCTGATTACTAGTAGGAAAACTAAAAGTTTAAAATATTTATTGGTCTCGACGTTAAGCGTTCACACGTGAAACCGAAGGCCCTAGGTTTGAATCCTCCTGACGGGATCGTGTATACTCATTGTTGAGGAGTCCCGTACTAGGGCGGAACGGTCACGAAGTGCTTTCAGGTTTTCTATGGTGGTCTAGCTTAAATCGACTAAAATTTTCACAAATCCTCATTCTGAAAATATTTATTCGTTGTAATCTTTAGTTTTTCTCGTCAGTTCTAAGTAAGCTTCATTCCTGTATGTCTTCTCTCAATTTCTGATGATAAGTGAAGTTAGAAAGTAATATGGTGTTCATAAGTGAAGTATAACAAATAGACAGTATATCAGTAATTTATCAGTCTGTTAATTGAAGCTGGAAAAAAAGTGGTTAATACTGAATTGTCTCATTATGAAGTAATGAAATAAGTGTTTATGTAAACTAATTTTTAGTGAAGGGACGTAAATTTGTTTATTTATTCAATATTCAGTATTAGCCGAGATAGTTTAAGTAGGCTGTCATTGTAAAGAGACCACCTACCCTTAATTCGAAGTAAGGGGTATTGGATAAATGTCTAATTGTCTTGAGTGATACATAGATTTGTAATAGTAAACAACTAACAGTAACACTTATGACATATATTGTATTTTGTTAAAATATATTGGCTAAATATTCATTACATCTGTACGGGATTGCACACCAACAGTGAAATCCAGAGACCTTTGCTTCAGATACTAGATCGTTACTCATTAAACTTCCAAATCACGATATACAAAGCAGCAGTAGATGATTCAAGATGAACATCCCAAGTTCCTACACTAGTCTCCCCATAAACATTAGCAAGTATCAAGGCACTCTCTCAGGATGTTCATTTACGTCGGAAGATATTGATTGATAAGTATGATAAACGATCTCCACCAAACCCGTTCTGACACTAATCAACATAGGCTGACTATTGACTGGCTTTAACATGTATATCCTGGAGTCATTTTATTATTTCAATGGTTGAGATCATGAGTTAGTTGAAGCTAGACCACCATGGAAAACGTGGAAGTAGTGAACGGCCGTTTCAACCTAGTATAGGACTCCTCAGCAATGCACATCTACGTCTAGTGCTTCCAGGTTTTTTATGATGGTCTAGATTCAATTGACTCATGATCTCAACTATTAAAATTACTATAATATCCACAATACCCCTTCAGATAATGATCAACATATGCTCACTGGTAAATGAATTCAAGAGGTATTTCATGGAGTTCTAGTGAGAAGCATTGACGAGTGGAGTTCAACCGGGTCTGTTGCGAGTCAGTAACTTACTGAAGACATTGGTGGATGTGTCACTCAATTTTGTGGATTAGTTGGAGTTAGACACTAACAGTGTTGGATGCCGGTCGACTCAGTGATGTAGAGGTTATGCGTTCGCTTTCGAGACTGATAGGTCCTGGTTTCAAATCTCACAAGGCGAGATCGTGAATGTGCACTCTTGAGTAGTCCCACAATAGGACGAAACGGCCATCCAGTACTTCTAGGTTTTCCATGGTGGTTTGGCTTCAATTCACTTATGATCTCAACTATTGAAACCCTTATAAATAGTAACAACATTATACTGGGTTTTTTTTTCTAGATAATTACATAAACCTAATCAAAATAAATCAAACTATAATTCACTTACATGGTTTACATGTATACCAACTATCATTCATTTCATATATTGATACATATCCTGGTAAACAAAAACATTCATCATGTTGAATTGAACAAAAACTATTACGTCTATACATTTGACAAAATAGATCACCATCATTTTTAATACATGAACCTAAATTTAATGATTGAAAATCAGTTGGATACAATTGTTGATAGGATAAAATCAATTGGATACTAAATAGATTAATGGTTATATAATACAGGTTAAATTTATGTAAGATGTCTTTATTGAATAATTGATAAATAATCTCCATGACAAATAAACAATCGACAGATAAAATTATAATAAGGGACTTGTTTCCAGGATTTTCATTATGTAATAATAATAATAATAATAATAATAATAATATTTATGTGATAATTAACCAATCACAAGTGGAGATGAAATGGCCAATCAGATAAGGAGTTTAACTTAGAAAATAATTTAATTACATCGTTATTATTGTGTTTGTATTTAGGATCAAATATTTATATGTAGAAGGGAGGGGATTTGTGAAGATTTTAGTAATTTAATAGTTGAATTCATGAGTTCATTCAAGCTAGATCATCATGGTGGGTAGTGGCGCGAATTTTGTCGATTGATTGAAGTGAGACATAAATACTAGTTGTAGTCTATAGGTTAAGCGTCCGTGCATGAGATCGATAAGTCCTAGGTTTGAATTCCGTGCGGCTGAGATTATGGATGCGCACTGCTGAGGAGACCTATACTAGGACGAAACGGCTGTTCAATGATTTTAGATTTCTCATGGAGGTCTACATTCAATTAACTCATGAATTCAACTATTAAACTATACGGAATTACTATCTGCATATTATTATAAGCAATGAAATGTAAAATGACTATAGAGTTGTTAATCTATACATTGTAATAATTTGATAATAAAATGAATATAATAAATCAATTCTAGGCAAATGTTGATGTTAATCAAAAGATAAACTGAGAATAAAGTCTAAAATTCCATCAATTACACAATTTATAGTTCATATCAACGATTGAATATCAAAATGCATAGAAAACTATACGTCATTATCGTATCCATTGAAACTTCTAACCTTACTATTAATAATAAGAATAAGTAGTATTGACATATACACAAATATTACTTAACAATTTCACTACTAACCATTATATAATTTATTTACATATCTACTAGCTGTCTATATCCTTTTCAATAGTTCAAATCATGAGTCAGTTGAATCTAGACCACCATTGAAAACCTGGAGGTACTGGCCGGCCGTTTCGTCCCACTGTGGGACTCCTTAGCAGTGCTCATCCGTGATCTCGCCCCCCGCAGGATTCGAACTCACGACCTATCGGTCTCGCGTGCGAGCTCTTAACCATTAGACCACTTAGCCGATTGACATCCAACGGTGTTAATGTTTAACTTCAACCAATCCACGAAATTGAAAGAAACATCCATCAATGTCTTCAGTGAGCTGATATCTCACAATAGACTCGACTGAACTCCACTAGTCACTGCTTCTCACTAGAACTACATAAAATGCATCTTGAATTCAGTCACTAGTGAGCAAATGTTGATTAATATCAGAAGAGGTATTGTGGATATTATAGTAATTTTAATAGTTGAGATCATGAATCAATTGAATATAGACCACCGTACAAAACCTTGAAGCACATGAGGGCAAGATCGTTGATGCGCACTGTTAAGGAGTACCACAGTAATACAAAACAGCCATCCAGTGCTTCCAGTTTTCCCATGGTAGACTAGATTTAATTGACTCATAATTTCACCTATTGAAATTACTACAATCTTCACAAAACCCCTTCTGATATACCCTTTTTTCATCAAGACAAATTATGTATTCATAATATCTTTGTTCATCTTTTAATCAACTGATTCGTAACTTTAAACATACTACTTAAAATCTATTAACTATCCCACTATTGTTATTGATATTTAACCATTCGGAAAGATACACAACAAATGGTGATGTTAACGATACCTAATTGAATGGTTATAATTTGTTATGTTATTGTTTGTTTTTCATTTTAATTTGACAGTAATTAATAGTTTATGAAAAATAAACATATTTTGTTTGTTTTGTCAAAACATTGGATTATTCCTTTCATTTAAATATGCTACTTAAATAGGGATTATTAGTAGACATCAACAATTGTGAAGAATATGTCATTCTAACAAATTTGAATGTTATTATTATTATTATTATTATTATTATTAATGAATAAATAATGTATAGTGAGACCCAAGAGAACATTTGTTTTTGATATTTTGACATAATAGTATATGTGTATGTGTGTGTTCGACTGTATATTGTAAACATGTCATCTGTTAAATTTAAGCATATCTACAATGGAAGAATATCTGGAACACAAAACAGTTGTCAACCAACACCAAAGTCACAATTTCCAGTACAATTATCAAGAGAGTACTACCGTATGGGGTGGATACTTGGAGAACTACGAAACCCATCATCCAAAAGATACTAGTGTTTATGGACAGTTGTCTATACAAAATACTTCAGATCCGTTGGCCAGACACTATTAGTAACAGCCTATTGTGGGACAGAACAAACCAGATTCCAATGGAGGACTGAATGAGGAAGAAGTGCTGTAAGTGGATAGGATACACATTGAGTAAACCACTCAACTACATCACAAAGGAAGCACTCACTTGAAATCCTCAATGTCAAATAAGGAAAAGAGTAAGACCAACGAATAACACATTACTCCGAGAAATGGAGACAGACATGAGAAGAATGAACAAGAATTGGATAGAACTATAAAGAAAGACGGAGGACAGAGTTTGTTGGAGAATGCTGGTCGGCGACCTATGCTCCACTGGGAGTAACAGGCATAAGTAAGCAAGTATGTAATCTAATCACAAGATCTGTGTCTCGACCGCGATCGTAATAAATGAAACTTGCTTATATAAACATGATCCTGTATCTAAAGTGTAAATCCACTATAATTAGTGCAAGAATATGCAGTAAATATAGTCATTCATAAATAAACTGAGAGTAAAACATACATTAAACGCTAATGATATGTGTAATAATTGAATAAATTGTGATGTACAGTCGTACATTCGGGGTTAGACTGTGTTAAAATGGTGAACTTTTAAAATGAAGTATTGTTATTCACATGGGTTATGCCAATAACTAACATACAGTTTGATAAAGCATATTGTATCCTGAGATGGCTGAGATTTGTAGCTCAGGTGGATGATTTTGATGTAGTTTCGTTCTCTTAACTGGATGGTTTGGTCGTGGAGCTTTCATCCTTCTTCTGAACGATATCATCAGAATCACAAACTTCAAGTAGAATTGATGTGTTCGAATCTCCCTACATATAACTCACATCTTGTACTTTATATTCATGTTAAAAAACACGACAACAGACAGAAAGAATGTATTTATTGTAAGACGTTACAAAGAACTTATATAATATACTATACATAGCTTTCAATCTTCAATTAGCAGCTTTCAGTGTGTTCTGTCATATGAACTGTATTCTCGTCTGGTCTCTAAATATTCTGCCAAAGCTGTACTACATTTGACAATTATAACAACCTAGACGTCACACTCCGTTGCACATTACTTATAAACAATCTTTTGAGTAGCATCCACTACAATATTATTCGTATCAATTATAACATGGCGGACAAGAATTTATTCTAATACTTAGGTCCTTCATTGTCCTGTAATTATTGACTTACAAATTCCGAATTTCACAATCATCCAAGTTGGTTGGTTACTGGAGTTAGCCAAACAATGAAAGGATTATGATTCTCAACGATTAATTAGATTGACTAATGATTATTTTCTGTTTTTTTTTAGATATTAGGATATACGACTCATTTTTTGTATTGATATCATTTTGTTGTAAAAACATTTGATTGTAGCTAAAACAAGTAACTAGAGAGATTCATATGTATTCTTTAATAGTTGAATTCATGAGTCAATTAAAGCTAGACCACTGTGGAAAACCTCGAAGCACTGAACGGCTTTTTCGTCCTAGTATGGTTCGCCTCAGCAACGCGCATCCACGATCCGGTTCATGTGATTCGAAACCAGGACATATCAGTCTCGCGCGCGAGCGCTTAATCATTATACCGCTAAGTCGATCGGCATCCAACACTGTTAATGTTTAATTTCAACTAATCCACAACACTTGGTGACACATCCATCATTGTCTTCAGTTAGTCAGTATCTCACAACAGACCCGATTGAACTCCCCTGGTCAATGCTTCTCACTAGAACTTTAGGATATACCTCTTAAAGCCTTTCACTAGTGAGTATATGTAAATTAATATCAGAATAGGTTTCTGTGGATATTATAGTTGAGATTATGAATCAATTGAATCTAGACCACCATTGAAAACCTGGAAGCACTTGATGGCCGTTTCGTCCTACTGTGGGACTTCTTAGCAGTGTTCATCCACGATCCCGCCTTACGATCTTGCTTCAAAATTTTTGGAAGCTACTTAAAAAACCCATTGATATTTCCAAAATATTCATATCAAATTCTTATTTTCATGAACAAATTTAAATATTCACTATATAACATCATCTAATTATATCCCATAGTAATAATCTCTACTCATCTCCCCCTCTAGTAGTTTAAAACAAAAAAAAACACTGAGCATACACAATCATTGTGTACACAACAATAATAATGTGTATTAGTAAAGTCAAACTACATCCGGTTGACAAACGTTTAAACATTACAATTATTTCTATTGTTCTAATGTAATTTCATTTACTGAGAATCATAGAATCATATAACATGACGCCATACATTCTACTAGATGATAACAATAGTCTCTATCATAAAACTCAAAATGTTTTCTCATCTAATGTTTGGAAAGAAAACAATGAACTGCACCCTTTATTATATTTCTTCCCATAGCCCCCCCCCGTCCATCACCACCATCCCCCCCTTTAAGTTTTTCTGAAGTTATTTTTTTTCTATAAAACAAACACGTTTGTTCCGTGAAGGTATGAATATTATTTTCCTTCTTCTTTTTTTTATTAGCCGAAGGATAAAGAAAAACGATAAGTTGGAATGTTTATATAACAATGACAGATTATTTCCGATTTCTTTTCATCTTTAAATCGGTTATTACAACTTATTGATATATTGGAAAATGATATAATGGTTAAAGATTATTGTTTATTAACCACACCCAGTCAGTCAGTCAGTCAGTCAGCTACAACGTAGGACCAGGCACATATATATGCATCGGTTCAAGTTGCCATACTTCATTAACAC